AGTTAGGGGTCCTCAATCATGGCTAGGGGGGCGCTGGCCTAAAAAATATTGAGAACCACTGCTCTACAGGTTGTTTTATGTAACAAACTGGCAACAACAGAACAAAAACTGATAATCATCTCATGCCCCCCGCGTCAACATATTGACACTTGGTCGGGTAACTGTCTGCGTCAACTTTCAGACATGCCGATTAGTCCCCGCGCATCCGTTCTTTACGAGACGAAGCGGAGAAGGATGAGCGCGTCGTCATACCTTTTTTTCTACAAGAGTAGGAAATGCAGGAAACTAATCATCCCAGACCCTAAATTTAATTTCTATTAGCCTTATACAGCCTATCCCTGACCACAGACCCTAAAATTAACCATTAACCCTGATCCCTCATATTAACCATTTTTTAAGTGTAGAGAATTTGCGAGAAGTAACTGTCCCAGAGCCTAAATTTAACCTATATTAGCTATATACAGCCTATCCCTGACCCCAGTATCCCTCACGTTAACCTCAGACCCCGACCAAAAGACCCCTAAGCAACGCAACCCGGAAAAGCCGAGGCAGCAAGGACGGACGCGTGGGAGGTACCTGACGCATCAAAACTGGACACAGACGGTCCCTGCCCAAGCGTCAATATGTTGACGAGTCCGACATGAGAATGTGTGACAGCTGATGGTTTAACCTGCCCAGTCCAGGTGAGGCTCAGGAGAGGACAAAGACAGAGAAGACAACAGGAGTGACGGACAGCAGCAGAGGGATGGACAGGGAGATGAAGTGACCCGATCCTGATGATCCTGTTACTCCTGGTGCCCCTGTTGCTCCTGTTGCTCCTGTTGCTCCTGTTGCCCCTGGTGCTCTTGTTGCCCCTGTTGCTCCTGTTGATCCTGGTGCCCCTGTTGATCCTGGTGCTCGTGGTGCTCCTGTTGATCCTGTTGATCCTGGTGCACCTGTTGATCCTGTTGCTCCTGTTGATCCTGGTGCTCCTGGTGCTCCTGTTGATCCTGTTTCTCTTGTTGCTTCTGTTGCCCTTGATGATCCCGTTGAAACTGTTACGAGAACCGACGTGTTCTGAATGTTGACGAATCCCGGCTGTTGTCCAGTGACCGTGCTGCTGATCCAGGACTCGTACTGTGAGACCCGGGCGTAGACTCCTGGCATATTCGGTTGGGCACAGCCGTCTCCAAAACTAACAACTCCAGCCTGGACCCATCTGGTGCCATTTTTACTGACCAACGGACCGCCGGAGTCCCCCTGAACACACCAAAAAGGAGTAAATATGCAGGGGAAAAAAACGCTGAGTCATGCTGGTGTGTTGGAAAAATAACTTATCCCATAAAGTCCCACATTCTTCTCAAGTCAAGAGTCAGTGACCTTTTTTGCTTACCTTAAAATGTCATCATGTTTTATGATTTTACTCTTTGTCCTCTGTTTCCTCTCAGATAAAGTGTTTCACAACCAGGACAATRTCTGTTYAGAAKTAATCATTCTTGTTGCTGTTTATCAAACATCATTCTCTCCTTGGCCCAGCTTCGGCGCCAGGAGAGGTGTTGTTGTCTGTTTTGGAYAACATTCTGTATAAATAAGTGTATTTGAGACTGCCTCAGGGCACACATTTTCTACCACAGCCCTGTGTGACATGGTGTGTGTCTGCAATTGCAATAAATCCTGTTGACCATTCACAGAGTACTTTTTATTCTTGCATCATGTGTTTCTGTTTTGGTCAAAYAAATAATTCCACAACAATAYTGGCGTCAACAAACAGGRTSCACGCTGGAGCTCCACGGGCCGAGACCAGAAGATCTCCCTCTGATAAGMCTCGGGACTAAACATTTTTTGAGTGAATGAGGAGCTGATGGTCTGGACTCGGACTGTGACTCCACGCTGGATTAAAGAACCCTTGTTCTGACAGAAACATGGTGAGATAATCTTTATCATATGAAAATCTAAAATATATCTAATTAAACACATTGCACAAAAATATATTTTTAGGACCTCTGGGAATGGACAGAGTTTTGAGTTCAGGGAACTCTAGGGGGCAGTTAGAGTCTGTCCGGCAGGGAGATAGCTCAGGGTATTTCCCTGGGGGGGTTGCTTAGCCAGAATTCCTGTGGTAGGTCTCGTGTATCACAGACCCAGGGCTGTGCCACACATCTGGAACGCTGGGAGACCGTTGTGTTGAGGAAGGACGGCCGTCCGACAGTTTCAGGGAAGCTGTTTTTTTTATATATGGGTCAGGGTCACGGCACAAACTGTCCAGTACCGGAGAGCTCCTTCGTAGAGATTAGGAGTAAATATGGTAAAGAATCTTTATAGTGCCTCCGTGAATGGTCGATCTGTTTGTCTCCCCTGGGTCATTTTTGTCTTAATCAAACCTAACATATTCAGGTAAATGTTGATCCGCTGTTGTTTGCTTTTTGTGCTGAGTAACTGAAACTAACTGCAGCTGGAGTGTGTGTGTATGCGTGTGTTCTCACCTAAAGGGAAAGTTCAGCAACTGTTTTAAAATGGTCTAAAGTGTGCCTTTATAAACTCTTAAAATGCTAATTTTGGTGGAAATAGAACACACTCAGAAGAGAGGGAGGTACTGTGAGGATGTGTGTTCTGCAGGCTTGTGTTCTACCTCTCTCTTGTGTTCCCTCATCGTTATTACGCCTTTTTTCCCCTCAGCTGTTTACCTGTCATTTCCTCCTTTCACACTCACCTGTCGGTAGTTTTCTAATCAGTTCTCCTCAGCTGTTGTCCATCTCCTCTCCTCCTCTGTATAAATACTCYTGTCATGTCTTTATTCACCGCTGGTTCATTGTTTGGTTTATCCTGCTGTCCTCGTCGTCTCTCTGAGCTTCATGTATTTTTGTAGGTTTGCTGCCTYGTCAGCTTTTTGTTTTTGTTTGAATAAATACTTTTATTGTTAACTCTCAACCCCTGTCCGGACTTGGGTTCATTCCTACGTCAAACCCTGACACATCTATGTACATATTAAGATAATTTTAAGTTAGTTTTTGAAGGTATATGGAAAAGCATAATCTGAATATGGGTTGTTGTTTTGAGTTGTTGTTTTTATTTAACGTTTGTTGTTTTTGTTGTTTTTTGTAAAGTACTATTGTTTGAACATATTTTTGGGATAATAAGAGCAGATAAATTTTTTGGTCTTTCTGTTG